CAAAAAAAAAAAAAAAAAAAACCAAACCAAAAAGGACCAATAGGGAGAATACCAAAAAAAGGGCACAAATACACCTCTCACGCACCAAATAATAATAATAATAACTCTTCAAAAACAAAAAAAAAAGAGTCTTAACGAAAAATAATAAACGTTGATTTAGCAAGCCAGTTGATCGTAATGCTGAAACTGTTCTTTTTTTTTTTTTTCCACACCCCTTTTTTCTCTTCTTTTCTTCTCATTTATTTCACACAATCAATACAGACGACAAACAGGATGGTATATTGCAATAGAAAAATACATATATCCCATATATATATATATATATATATAGTGAGGCAATATCACTCTCTTCTTCTTCCTCTCTCTTTCTCTCTTTCTCTCTCTCTTTAGAAGGATCGTGCGAGAGTGATCCAGTTCAAATCCTGAACAGGCATCAACACAGGGCTGTACACTTTACACAGCGCCTCAATCACATTTACATGTGATGAAATATTCACAGATCCTCTAGACCGCATAGAAACAGCCGCATGCAAAACAATCACCAGGTCATTAAGAAAGGCAACAAGTTCCGTATTATGTGATGAAGTTGTTTCCAACTGCAAAAGAGACTTTGCGGTGTTAATGGCTAATAAATGTGGTGTACGCAGCACAGCAGCAACGCCTGATAAAACCCCATAAACCGTACGTGCAATAAGAAGAGGTCTCTCTTCCATTCTGAGTTTACTTTCTACCGCAGATACCGCAGAGAGAATCAAATCCACTTTCAACACACAATGAAGACTGGCTTTATATCCCTCAAGAATAGACTTTTCCATTTCCTCCTCTTTCTCCACACTATTATTATTATTATTATTATTATTATTATTATTATTATTATTATTATCATTATTATCATTATTAGGATGCGTAGTCTTATTGGAATCTGTTGTTGTTGTTGTTGTTTGGTTATTTCTAGCATCACAGTGGGATAGCCGTAAATAAGCCTGAGCTAATCCCTCATAAATAAACACAATAGACCGGTAAGATATTTCGACTTCTCCTTCTTCTACTGATGATGATTGTGTTGATGATAATAATAATGTTGATGTTGTTGTTGATTGTGCAATGGATTCGCAGTACTGCAGGAGATCTCTCGCAAACCGCACATGTGCACGACACCAATCGGGTGTAACGGCAGCACTGTCCACATCTTCAAACGCCTGCAGCATCTGCCGTGCCCAATCCCACTTATTATTATTATTATTATTATTATTATTATTATTATTATTATTAACATTAGAAGAAGAGAAAGAAGAAGGAGGAGAGGACTGCAGTAAGTTCATCATGGCGGTGGCCAACTCCGCTGCGGCCTCTGCGCAGATGGACGGCACCGCGACGGTGTGAAATGCCCGCAGCAACAGAGACGACTGCGTGTGAACATCCCGCCGCCGCAGAACCGCCGCGAAGGCACACATTCCACTGTACACATCCCCGCGGCGACAGGCATCGCCCAGCGCAGCCACAGCCGCCGTGTCCGCTGACATTTATTGATCGCGTCTGTAGGCTTAATAATAATAATAATAATAATAATAATAATAATAATAATAATAATAATAATAATAA